TGCCAGGCAAACATTAACCAGAGGAAAGCATGAGTGGCTAAATTAAAGTCAGAAAAAGTGAAGCCCAGAGCAAAAATACTACTGGAGACAGGTGGGAATTAGACAGTAAGAGCTTCGGTCGGTCAAAACAGAGCAAGCCCAAATACGCCGGCGCCAAATGACAGACGGGCAAACCAGCAAAGTAAAAGTGGATAAAATCAAGAGCAAACACAGACAGATGCACAATTACAGTTAGAGACGTCAACCACCCGCCCTGCACAACCAAGAGAACAACTAGACGGTGAACCGGCCGAGACGACCCACACGATCTAATCAGCATTTCAGCACATTTCTCCCAAGGACAGCACAATCCATTTTCGTTTGGGCCCTGAAATTCTTACCATTATGCCATATTCTTGGTCACAAAAACCACCAAAATTAAATGAAATAACACGAAGCATGTTCTTTAACCACAAAGAAATCTTGCTAGAAATTAGTGGCAGCAAAGTAACAGCAAGTTTTCCATACACACTCCTAGGGGACCCACGAGACAAAGGGGGAGTCTCAAAGTAAAACAAAATGCCAAAAATTTGTGGGGCACATAAAAATCGGCGCCAAGAGGAAAATTTACAGCACAAATGCTTACATTAAAAAAAGAGGAAAAGTCTCCAATCAATATTCTCAACTCCCACCATAAGAAACATGAATGAAAAGACAAAAATAAACCTAAATAGCAAACAAAAAGAAGGAAAAAAATAAAGCACAGAAATTAATAAAACCGAAAACAAAACTACAGAAAAAAATAAGAAAAATAAAAGATGGCTCTTTGGAAAAAAAAAAAAAATCAATCCTCTAGTAAGACTAAGCAGCAAAACAGTGAAGGCACAAACCACCACCATCTGAATGAAACAACACCCAAAGGCGTGAGAGACGCGACCACCAACTCAATACACATAAATACAGCAACTGTCCTGAAAAGGACCAATTCCTCAACTGGCACAATCACAACTCACCCAAAATGAAACAGCTCATTTGAGTAGCCTAGTTAACTATTAAAGAAACTGAGTCTGTAAACTGAAACACCCAAAAAAGAAATCTCTAGGTCCACATGGTTTCACTGGAAAATTCTACCAAACATTTGAAGAGGTTAACAGCAACTCTACTTGATGTCTTCCGGAAAGCAGGAGAGAAGGGAACACTTTCCAAGTCATCGCATGAGGCCAGGTATGGGGGTAAAATCTGACAGTCACTGCCCTTCTATTCATGGAAGAGAAACATTTAGCCAAGTGCAGCCCTGCTCTGAGGGGAACAGGGGTCCGCAGGAGCCAGCAGGGGCGTCTAATTCCATCCTGGGTGGGGCTGAGATAATGGAAGGTTTCAAAAGAAAAGCAATTTTAGATGTTGACAGAGCCACTGAAATATGGAGATTTTAAACGCCAGGAGAAACAGCTAGAAGAACCCAAAATAAGTGCCTCTAGGGTGAGATGCTAGAGTAAGGAGAGAGGAATGAGCAGCACAGAGCCACAGTGTCTTCTCATAAGCCTTTTACCCTATGTTACTATGATCAAATACTACCAAATGTCACAAAATAATGTAAAAGCACAACTTCCAGTCCAGATCCAACTCCCCCTGCTCCTCTTACCGAAGTCCAACCATAAGCTTGGAAACAAAGCAAGAACCACGCAAAGGAGAGCTCTGGAAGGTGGTAAGGCAGCACTTAAGAAGAAGAGGGCTGGGCTGGCTTGGGACCGAGGACCGGAGAAATTACACAGTAGCAGGACGTCCTACATGCCCTCACTCCACAGAAGGAAGGAGATGCCTGGCATTCCCCAACTCCCAACCTAGCAAGAAAAGGCAGCCCAGAAGCATCATTCCTCCCCTGGAGGGTACAAGCGTCCACCACCACCAGCAAGACAGATCAACACGTGCTGTGGGAAATGGCGTCCTTCCCCATGGACCGAAGACTCCCCTGTGCCGTCACGGGACACTGGTGCGTCTGGGCAGCACCAGTCAGAGGAACCCTGCCACAAAAAGAGGGTAGAAGCCTCAGAAAGCTGCTGTGTGTCCATGAGCCCGAGACGCCCCTCTCTCACCAGGAGGGAAACCAGGCAGCACCAGCAAGCACAGCCCCACTTCAGAGGCAGGCAGCCAGTCCAGTTAACGGCTTCTATTCAGGGCCTGAACTCCCCTCCTGTGCCACCAGAGCCCAGAGCAGCAGGAGGAACCAGCAAGAGGAATCGGAATGGCCACCATGCGGCTGAGACTCCTCCCCTAACCAGACACATGCAACCGCCAGCAGGCACGTGCACAGCGGGTACAACCACCACCCACCCAACAGAACGTCTTCATCACGTGGGCTGACCATGCCTCCTCTCACCAAGAGACACTGGCCTCGTCCTCTCAGCAGCAGAAGCAGAGAGGAGGGAGAGTCCCTGTACACCACAGAAACCAAGCACCCCAGAAATCAGAGCACAAAAGTAAACAGTCACGGGACCCACAGCCCACAGATGGAGGCCAGGACCTACAGACTAACCCTAACCACAGTGCTCAGCTGCTGAATTAAGAGCTACAACCAGAACCCACATTCTCCACAAGGAAGAGACAAAACGTCCAGGATACAATAAAAAATCCAGTCCTACCCAGAACAGACGATTCACAGTGTGAGTTGGAAACGATGATCAACAGACACCAAAGCTCAGATTAACTCCGATACTGGAATTACGTGACGATCGTTTTAAGCAGCGAACACAAACATGCTTCAACAGCCAATTACAAATCCTCTGAAAACAAAGAGAAATTACACAACTGAATAATGAAAATGATCTGCTGCTGCAGGACACCAACAGAAGACTGAGGATGACAAAGGGCAGAATTAGGCAATCCGACAGCAAATCAGGACAATTCACACAATCTTAACAAGGCAAAAGAAACTAGGGTGGGGGGGAACCTACGGGAATTATGGAATACCGACAGAAGAGCCAACATTTGTGTCACCCCAGTACCAGCAGGAGAGAGAGAAGACAGTGGAAACCAGAGTCCTTGAAGCAACTCCCTAACTTTGGTGAAACAAAACCGAACAGAATAAAAACTTACCAAATTCCAACCGAGATAAACCGAAAGACATCCACAGCAAGATACACAATTAAATTTGTAAAAATGAAAGACAAATGCAACCGTGAAAGCTGTCAAGAGAAATGGCACATGACCCGCGGGGAAACACCAAGGGCAGTGGCATGAGCGCCGCAGCAGGAACCACGCAGGCCGGGTGGGCCTCAAGGCTAATACCAAAGACCTGTCCACCCGGAATTCTGTATCCAACACACCCATCCTCCAGGAATTAAGGGGAAATGAAAACATTCTAAGGTGGAAGAAATTCCAAGACTGGCTACAGAAAGCGCTTCAAGTAAAAAGGAACGGCGAAAAACAGAGTCGTGGAATACCAGGAGAGAAGAGCAAAGCACAAACGCGCGTCCGTCCGCCAGGCCGTGCGCACAGCGCGAGTTCCGTAAGGCGCACGCGGTGCTTCGGCCAGAGGCTCGGCACACGCGGTCGGCGGCACAGGCGGGAAGACGGTAACGGGACCAGGACGCCGGCAGGTGTCCACGCTGCGCTCCACGACGACGACAGCACCGCGGCACGCGGAGTCGGCCACAGGCACGCGCCCTGCGACAGGGACCCCGCCCCAAACACGGCCGGCGGATCCAAAGTGTGAAGAGGGATGAGAATCGGAACGAAAACGCGAACAAAAGCGCGCGCCAACGTAGCAACAGCCGACTTCAATAAAGGTCCGGGACCGGCAGGCGCCCCGTCCGACACCCGCGTGCGACAGACCCACGACGAGCGCGACCGGAGGCGAACACCCGCCATGGCAGAGCGCAGAGGGCGAGCGCACGGAGAGCGCGGGGCAGTGAAGGCCGCGGTACCCCCAGAGGACACGGGGATCCCGGACGTGCTCCCGGCACGCGCCGGGGCGGTGGTGCGAACCTACAGTGCGACGAGGGACGGGTTCCCAGGAATGCTGTCCCCAACGCCCCCCGAACTACCGACACAAGCACTGCCACGGGTGACACGACGGAGGAAAGGGACGTGGCCCTCGGGACCGAGCACGACGCGCAGGCCCCGCAGCAGGTTCCCTGGCAGCCCGTCGCCATCCGCTAGAACGACGGCGCTCGAAACCGGGCTCGGTCGCCGGGGTCGAACCGCGAGCCGAGGTCCGTCTCGCGTCGGGGCTACAGCTTCTCCTGTAGGGGCAGGGGCCGCGGTGACCGGAGGGCTGGACGCGGCGACGGCTGGACACTGACCACGCGGCTCCTTGGGCGCACCGCGTGCAGCGTCGGGGGCGCCCGTCGGCTCCCAGACCTCGGGCGGCGAGTCAAGCCCCGCCTGGGGCGCCGCATTCATTGGGGAGTGGGCTGGAGGCCCGCGGCCGCGCCCGCCCCCCGCGCCCGCACGCGCGCTCTCCCGCGCGGCTCAGGGAAGTTCGGTGCCTCCGGGGGTGCTCGGGGCCGCACGTCGGGGCCGCGCGGGACGGCACGTCGTCTTCCTCTAAGCCTGTTCTCCGCAAACCTCCCTCTGTTTCCGCGGGAAGCAAGTCGGATGCGAGCGGGGGCCCCGCCGCACCGCCCCGCGAGCACACGTCGGGTCAGCGCGCACGCCCCGCCAGCCCCGGGGGCCCGTCGCTCCGCGGCAGCCGCGCTTCCCCGCTCGCTCTGGGTCCGCGTCCGCGCGCTCACGGTCCCCTGGACCCGCGCGGGGCCCGGGCGGCAGCGGGGTCTGCGGGGTGCACACCGCACCGCCCGCCCCGACAGAGCGTCGCAGAGGCCCCCGCAGCCCAGGCCGCGGGCGAGTGCGGGCGACCGCCGCAGCCCAGGCCGACGCGGCTTCCGCAGCGGCTCCCCGCGAGGACAGGCCGGCGTCGGGAGCGCTGCCGCGGCCTGCGGGCGGGGACGGACGCGCCGGCGGGGCTGAGGGGCCCCGGGGGCAGGGACGCCGCGGGCGGAGGGACGTGGGCGCGTCCTCACCTGCTGGGCCGCTCGGCCCCGGGCCCGGGCCCCGCCGCTCTGTAGTAGGCCGCGCGTCTGCGGTTGGCCGCGGCCGACGCGTCGCGCACCGGGTACAGAGGGATCAGGTCCGCCATGTTCCGGCCGCCCCGCCCTCTCCGCTCCGCTCCGACCTAGCTGAGGCGCCGCCGCGCGTTCTGGCCCGCCCCCCGCGCGTCGGGGCCCGATGGCGTCGCGGCGCGGCGCAGCCTGATGACGACAGCGGGCGGCGAGGGTAGGGGGCGGAAGGCGGCGGCTTTCCGAGGCTCCGTGCGCGGGCCCGATGACGTTCCCGCGCGGCGCGGGCGCGAGCGGAGGCGGTGGCGCTTCGAGGCTCCGCCCCACCGCGCTCCCGGGCCGGGTGGGCGTCACCACGCGGCGTGCGCACGCGCGGCGGGACTGTGTCTCGGCGGCGGCGTCCCCGGGCGCGTGCGCGTGAGGCGGAAGCCGGACCTTCCCGGGCGCGCGGGGCTGTGCGGGGCCGCGCCCGCCGCCGTGTCGGCTGCCCCGCGCCTGCGGACTGACGCTCGCGGGAGGGGCCTCCGAGGAGCCGCCGGCGTCGGGCCCGCCGCGTCCCCAGCTGCGCCAGCTCGTGCGCCGCTTCCGGTCCGCGGTCCGCGGAGGGCCCGACCCGCACCAACCAGCGCGCGGCCGGCCTCAGCCCGCACGGTCGCCCGCCCGGAAACCCGCCTCCCGCTGACACCCGCGACGGGCGCGTCCGTCTGTCCCGCGGGCAGCGACCGGGGCGCGGCGACGGGGGCCGGGGGACGTGCGCGCGCAGCCGGCCTCGAGCGCGTGCCGGGGGCTCCCCTGGACACCCGCCCGCTCGGGTCCATGGCCCCCATTCCCAGCTCCGACGCCCGGTGTGCGCGCTCCCGCCCGGCCGGTGCTCCCGTCCTCGGCGCTGCCCGGCGGACTGCTCGGAGGCGCCTGCACCGCGGGGTCCCCGCTCCACCGTGGGGTCGCCGCTCCGGACGGCGCGCGCCCTGAGAGCCCCAGGGGCGCCTCTTGTCCCGGGGAGCGGCCGCAGGGCGCACGGGTCTCTCCCCGCACCCCGCAGCCCGCCCTCCCGGGCGCCCCCACCTGCTTCCCGGCCCCCTTCGGGCAAGCGAGGGCGCCGGGTCGCCAAGTGTCCTCCCGCTGCAGACCCGCGAGGACAGGACGCGCGCTGGCCCGACGCGCGCCGCGCTTCCTCTTCGCACCCGACGGAACCTGACCTTTCCCAAACCCCTAACCCTGCGGCGAGGGGCCGTGACCTCGGAAGGGCTCCCTGGCGTCCAGTGAGCGAGCGAAGAGCTTCGCGAAGTGCGCCCCGGAGGCGGTTTTCTTAGGAGCCGGAGGATGTATTTCGGGGTATGAGGGGAGTTTTCTCCTCGGGCCTCGCTCCTGTCCGCCTGTTCCGATTTCGCTCCCGTCTGCTTCGTGTCTTACACTTTTCCAAGGGGAAGAAAATGTTTCGGTTTTGATTTTTCACATTTCTTAGCGCTGGATTTCTCCAGATGTCTTGGAATTTTGGTTCGCAGGCGCTGGGCAGGAGGCACTGCCCTCCCTAGTCAGTCGCGCTGCGGTGGCTTCCCCTGCGGCCCAGAGCGGGGTCCCATGTGGCATGTCAAGGCTTTCGGTACCAGGGATGGCCCGTCAGATGCAGGGTCGGCCAGCCCTGGGATTCCTCCTGGGTTTGCAGTTCGGGTCTATGTCCTCCAGCTCCTAAGCCCCCACCCTGTTCAAAGCGCTAGGCAGCCGCCAGCAACAGGATTTCCTCAGTGGCGGGTTTTTAGCTTCCGAGTCATCTCCATGTAGGTCAGCCTTACCCGTTCCCCGGGGCCCGAGCCCATTGCCCACTCCCACAGCCGACCTCCTGCCTCAGGACCCAGCCCACGGGACCCACTCTCACCTCTCTTTCTGGTCCTGTCACTTTGGTGTCTTCAAGCCCTGCGGTGTCCTTTGTTCTCTATTTCCGTAGTTTATAAATCCATTATGACTATGTGTTTGAAGCAGTGTGTGCAACATAAACTTCCAGATTCTAGACTCCTCTTGACTAAATATTTTCATGTATTACTTTTCCAATGTAAAAACTTACTTACTGGGATGCCTGGGTGGCTCAGACGGTTGAGCGTCTGCCTTCAGCTCAGGGCATGATTCCAGGGTCCTGGGGTCAAGCCCCGTGTGGAGCTCTCTGCTCGGTGGGGAGCCTGCTTCTCCCTCTCCCTCTGCCTGCTGCTCCCCTTGCTTGTGCTCTCTCTAATAAATAAATCTTTTTAAAAAAAATTAAAAAGATGAAAACATTTAAAAGAACTTATCCAAAAAAAGTTAATATTCTTAAGTAATTGCTCCAACTTTCTGGTTCCCATTTGTTACTTTTGCTGCTTTTTATGTGGTTTGAAAGAGGCCACTTTGTGGAGACCACAAAGGACACAGGGACTTCCTATGTGCAGGAGGAACGTGTGGCCATTCTTTCTCTTACGCAGACTCACTGCTGTCTGAGACTTGGGCCACCATGGGACACGTGCGTGATGTCAGCTGAAGTTCTGGGCAGGTCCTGGCAGGAGCTCTGCGGCCCGCTGTGCTGTTCATCTGGACAGCTCAGCTGAGGGACTGTTTACAGATGTGCGGGTAGGAATAAAGAAGCCAAAGCAGTTCACGGGACTCCTGCTGACAGGTCGACGGAAAACCACAAGCCCCCCCGGGCTCCGAGGGATGGGAAGGGAAAGCGCACTACCGGAAGCAGGCTGAGCCCAGGAGCCAGACCACCTCCCGACCCCGACCCCCATCCGGAGGCACGGAGGCTACAGAGCCGGGGTCAACACACTGCTCACAGGTAGAATCTACCTGGTGCCTGTTTGTTTAGCTAGAACCACACTGTTTTACCCACAGATTACCTATGGGGGCTTCCCAGCTGCAGTGGTGGAGTTGAGGAGGCCTTACAAAGGGCGCATGCCACAAAGGGGCCATTGTGGCCCTTTACAGGGAAGGCTTGCCAACCCGTCACAGGGGCGCATGGCCTTGCTAATACCTGGGGACGGGAGGGGGCGTGCACTGACAGCACAGGTCTGTATGTTTCTATGGGGACAGCACTTCCCTAGAGCAGTCCCTGAAGGAAGGCGTAATCACAAGTTAATGGAGGGGGTGGAGTGACCCAGAATACTTGATGGGTCTTTAGGAAGGCATGGAAGGACTTAAAAAAAAAAAAAAAAAAAAGGCACGGGTGGGGAAAGAGCGAACAAATAAGATGAGAGAGTTCCACCGATCTGTGTGCTTTGAGTGTAAGCAGACCGAGTGCTCCAAGGAGGAGTCACGTTGTCAGACCGGAGAACAAATCAAATCCAAATACAAGCCTGAGGTCTAAGAGGCCTCCCACGGAGAAGCGGAAAGTGGCAGGGACAGACGATCTAGACCACGTGATCACTGGCCACGGTTACCCGTCTGTGAGTGTCCCTCACCTCCGCAGACGCGGAGCCCGAGACACAGCATGGGTATGCAGCTGCCCTGGGTCACAGCCAGAGCTCGAACCCAGGTTCCAAAGGCCGTGTGTAGCCTCTAGACCAGAGCTGCGGGGTGAGCTTCTGGAAGAGAACGCTGACCGCCCGAGCTGGAACACACGGCGGAAGCAGGCTGGCGTGTCATTTCTTCTCATGCAAGGGCACAGGCCACCCGAAGAGAATGTCATTCAGCTGACTGTGTGCTGTTTAGTAGAGTCCCCAGCTTTGTGAAATTACTTGCTAGCGTGAAGGTTTTTGCTGGTAGAGAAGCAAATAATTTCCATCCAGAAGAAAACAGAACATCACGGGGCATAGTGTATTGTCCTCAGGATATCAACCACTTTTGTGTCTAACTCAGCACCTGAGCCCAACATCTATGACTTCTAGGTCCTGAAAAACTCTCTGAGGGCGTCTTAAGGTCTTACTCATTGTATTTTCCTCCATAAGGTTGTATTTGACTCATAAGTTTGTAAAATTTTGGCACAAACACATGTACCCACATGAGACTTACTTGACCTCTTCAAAAATTACTAGGGGCGCCTGGGTGGCTCAGTGGGTTAAAGCCTCTGCCTTCAGCTCAGGTAGTGATCCCAGGGTCCTGGGATCGAGTCCCGCATCGGGCTCTCTGCTCAGCGGGGAGCCTGCTTCCTCCTCTCTCTCTGTCTGCCTCTCTGCCTACTTGTGCTCTGTCCAAAAAAAAAAAAAAAAAAAAAAATTATGCTTTAGCTCTTCCTGTTCTCCACCGTGGCACAGGATCTAGATGAAAAGGAGAACCACACGTGAGACCATCTCGTCCACAAGCTCTGCCTCCACGCTCATGTGGGGGACAATAGAGAAGGACTGAGCCAGGCTGCAGGCCAGACCCCTGTGTTCTCCAGAGGTAGATAGGCCATCAGATCCTTGGCAGAGAAATGAAAAGATTGTCTGCCGGCCCAGGGCAAAAGAAATCCGGAGAAAGGCCTAAAGGTGCAGGAGTATGAGTTAAGAAAAAAAAATAACTTCTCCGATGCTGGAAACTTTGGCTTTGGGATCCAGGAGCACACCGATCTGGGGGCAAGTGTGACCCAGGCATTGGTAGGTGTGGCCTGGAGTCCTGCGTGGTGCTGCGTGTGCCTGTTTCTGCATCACAGGCAGGAAGCCAGGACCCGCAGCACCCCGGGGGCCAAACACAGACTCAGCAAAGAGGAGGCCACGTGCTGGTCCCAGCAGGTGTGTGATGGGATCAACCGCCCTGGCAGATAAATTCCCATTTCTATCCAGAAGGCCAATAAAAACTTCTCAGTGAAATGTTTTTTTGAAAAACGGTACTTGAGCAAAAAGAAAGATTTTCAAATGTCAAAGAAGAGCTTCATTATTTTTTAAATGGTTGACAGTGGATATCATATCATGGAATTCAAATGTCATTCAGTACATTTTAAAAAGTGATGTCACTGGGGTGGCTCAGTCCACTGAGCGTCTGACTCTTGATTTCAGCTCAGGTCGTGGTCTCAGGGTCATGGGATGGAGCCCCGCGTCCGGCTCTGCTCATGCAGAGCCTGCTTGAGATTCTCTCTCCGCTCAGCTCTTCCCCTGCTCGTCGTGCTCTCTACATAAACAACTAAACAAATAAAACCTTCTAC